ATGAAAACACCATCTATGATCCCTTAGCAGAAGAATACTCTAACGAAACCTTCATTCCCAAAAGCAATCTTTTGAATCCTATTAACCCTTTAATTTGAACTCTCAACGGTTACAAAGGATCCCCAACATTATTTTTAGTCTCTTGAGAGCTTTCATATTGAAGCACACTACGTATATCTAAGAAAGAGATCATTATTGTTGATCATACTCCTTTATTGTTTAAGAATAATCGTTGTTCTTTGAGTTTTTGGGACATGTTATTTCCATATTAAATAAGATCATTGTTATACAACAATCTACTCATTAAGGATTTCATTTTTTGTTGTTGTTTGGTAACTTCTTTCTTGGTGAAAGGGTGTAAAATCTTAATGTTGGGAGTAGACCCGATCAAAGTGCAGGCTGGCCCAGATTTCGCACCAGGCCAAGACCTTACATTACTAGAATTTTCTTGGATCAATCCCCGCCTAGCTCATATTTTGGGCCTAATAATTGAAGCTTGAGCCTGGCCTACATGGGTACCCACGGGCTTCGGGTCGGTCGGTCCGCATGGGTAATATTTTTTACATAATTGAAACATAGTTTTTTTTTAAATTTGATATAATAACTATGATGAGTATATTATCATTATGATTGACCAATATATGCAATGTGTTATTTATTTGAGTATTATTATCAATGTGCGATAAATATTAATAAAACAGTATGCCTTTGACTAAATATACTCATAAATCTCTTTTTTCTCTAGAGAAGGATGTACGTGTGTGTATAATAATACTTTATAATAAATAGTATTGTTTTTTTGTTGTTGTTATTTTTATTTTATCATGATTATATCAATAATTATTATTGTACATTCTGGTCGGCCTATCCCTCGGACTTGAACATTAAGCCCAAGCTTGCCCCTCAAGTATGGGGGGTCTCTGTTTATAATGACTAAGGCCCCGTTCCGTTCAACTTATTTTTTCTTATTTTTTCTTATTCTTATTAAAATCAGATAAGATCAGATCAGATCAGACTAGATCAGATCAGATCGAATCAGAGCAGATCAGATCAGAACAGATCGAATCAGATCAGATCCAATCAGATCAGATCAGATCTAATCAGATCAGATCAGATCAAGACTTATTAAAATAAGATCTCATCAAGAATTATTATTATTATTATTATATTATTATTATATTATTATTATTATTATTATTATTATTATTATTATTATTATTATTATTATTATTATTATTATTACTATTATTATTATTATTATTATTATTATTATGATCATCATCATCATCATCGTCATCATCATCATTATTATTATTATTATTATTATTATTATTGTTCTTAAAAATGAAAAAGAATAAACTTTAGAAATAGGTTAAATAAAAAGCTGAGAAAGTAATCCTTAATTATTAGACGTCGGAAAAATTAGTTTTAAAATACATTGACAATGTCAATCTAATTCTACTTTTAAAATATATTTTTATTGCTACTTGTAATTTGAGTTTCTAAACTTTTGATCTTTTATAAGGATGAGATATTTTAATAAAAATACTATCTCTTCTATATATTGATTATCTAAATTTAATTACTTTTAAATGTATATCTAAATTAAATATTTATTCCAATGTATAATTCTAATTTTACAAAAAAATTATCATAAAATAAAAAATATTATTACATTATAATATGAATGATTATTCTAATATATGAATTAACTATTTTTATTTTATTAAAAAGGAATCATTAAATAAAAAATATTGATTATATTATAATATGAATTATCATTACAATTTTCAAACGTTATTATAAAGTCAAATTAAATTATTGATTTGAAATTTTAAATTAAATCATAATTAATCAGATCAGACCAGATCAGATCAGAACTTATTAGAATCAGATCAGATCAGAAAAAATAAGATCAGTGTATAATAATACTTTATAATAAATAGTATTGTTTTTTTGTTGTTGTTATTTTTATTTTATTATAATTATATCAATAATTATTATTGTACATTCTGGTCGGCCTATCCCTCGGACTTGAACATTAAGCCCAAGCTTGCCCCTCAAGTATGGGGGGGTCTCTGTTTATAATGACTAAGCCCAGGCAGTACTTCAAAATATCAAGGCCAAGCTAATACCATGAGTGAGACAATTTTAGGCTTATTTTGGCCCGCATGCCCTAGTGTGTCGGGAACTTGATGCATAGCTGAGAATCCGATTGGTCTCATAAATGAGAAACACCACTAAACGCTCTACATTAATCATTATTAGCAAGGTAATGACCCCTCAGCCTCGATGAAATAAGCAAAATTTGTCAGTGCTTTACATGTATCAGTGTGCATGATATTCATGTAGCACAAAATATCAACAAGAGTCTAGTAAATTACCAAATCATAGATGTCCACCTTAATTATAATGGAATACCAGTGGGGGCTCATGTGCTTTGAAATATGAGATGAGGTAATAAAGAAGATGGTCTTTGACCTCATCTTTTTCTCTATCAAATGTTGTTGGGCTATAGCATACCTTGAAGACCAACAATTTCCTTACCCATTTCTTGCACAAAGTGGCAAAGCCTCCTCTTGGATTTCCTCTAATAATAATTTTCATGATGTGGTGATGCTTTATACGAATATGAGCCATCTCTAGGTCATCTTCATCATCGCTATCTAGGCTTAAGCTCATTTTGTTTTTGAAACTCTCGGGGTCAACACATACTACCTGGTTTATTGCTTCCATGGTTTCTGCCCCCTAGTGTTCCTTTATTTGCCTTCTTCTTGGAAAAATATATGAAGGTGTCCTCTCTTGATAAGTCTCGCACTCTAATGGGTGAAAAAATCATTGGTGGTGTGGCCATTGTTTTTATGGTACTTACACTACTTACATATCTCTTCTACATCGTACACCTTATTAGAGAATGTAGGGTACTGGACACTATCTTTTTTATCTTCATGGTTTAGAATTGGCCCCACTCGATGGACCACGGGATTAAGTAGCTTCTTTACATCATAATTAGAACCTTGCCTTTGTTTTAGACGAGACTTTGGACTATCAGAGAAACCCTAGCTCTTTTGTCCTTATTTAGAGTTGGTAAGTTCGTTAGAGAGTGCCTATTTGTGGGTCTCGTACCTCTACGGTGGATAGCCTTCACCTTGAAAGTGAACGTGGTGTGGTGCATCATCTTGTGAGGATTATGCCAAGAAGCGAGAGTAAAGGAAGTACAGTTACTTCATTTGCAGGATCTTAATGGTAGGATATAGTACAATCTCTCCTTAATAGGTATGTGTTGCACCCCTGGTACGAATAGTTGTATTTTGTGGAACTCACTGGTACCAGCAATTGTGTGGTACCATAATCTGACAATGGTTGTTGTCTCGATAAAGATCATTTCCACTTTCATTCATTTGAATGCTTTTGCCACCATACCTATGATTAATAGGCACATGCATGTATACGTAGTTGAGCAATGCATGTCAGTACCTTGAGGGTTTGGCATCTGCAAGTACTAATGGTTCTGTATGCTAATCTAGCAGTGTAGTTGTTCTGGTAAAGATTATATTCACCTGCATTCATTTGGGTGTCTTAACAATCGTGTTTATGTTAAAAGGCACATACATGCACTCTCAATGAAAGGGCATATCTCTGTACTTGTGGTCACTAGGTACAGGTCTGTACAAGGTTCTATGAACCATAATACTTGCTTCTTGCCATTGGTTTCTTTGTGAAGGGCTAGCCACAATCCAAAAATGTTACAAGTTACATATTCTTCTCCTCAAGATCCTTGAGGCACTTTTCTTATGGCTCTTTGTTTCGCACTCACATTTCCTTTGTATCTCCAAAGCCAGCTTTCATCAACTCATTTCATAATGACAATAGTATAATCCAATGTCGAATTCACTATCCTAAGGTCGTGTTATTGTGAATGAAAAAATAGTATGATTTAAAAATGATTAAAAAAGAGTAATGAGGGTGTAATGACACAATTAAGTAAATTTACTCAATATAGCCAAATCTCCGTCATTAATATTAAGTAGAGTAATGAGTGACACAATTAAGTAAGTAATATTCTTTATTATACTCTTATATGCTCTCTCTCGCTCAGAGACAAGGTTCCTTCTCTAGGCCTCAATCTCTTTCTTTTATAAGATCTCTCAACCTTAAGTAATGTATCTCTCAAGTGGTTGAGGTGCCATATCTTAGATGATTCGAAAAGATCCTGTAAATCTCCCCGAAGCTTCCCACATCCTCTCTCTAGTCTAGATGGGATGTTCTTTAATATTCCATGTCCTGTCTACCTTTGGACGGGAGCGATAGGGAATACCCCCTTCGTCTCGGTCTCTTTATCGACTTTTTTGTCACATAAACCAAGAAGAAGGAATAAAGGTAAAAATGACTTTAATGCGCTTCCTCATAAGGATAGACCATCTCTTCTGCTCCCTTCACACAGTCATCGCCCTAACATATCTTCCTGCCCCACCACCTCCTCTGCTGCACATAGCACCATTGACAACATGTGCTCCAATGATATACAACTACCTTAAGGCTTGCTGAAACCCACTTGTCCTCACCGAAAACACCTAATTAGAGTTCCACAACAAAAAATAGAATTGAAGAACCTCACAAGAATTAAATCCCCAAAGAAATTGAAGAACCCTGAAACAACGACAAAAAGTCAAGAAATCCAATCTTCTTACTTCTCTGACACTGCCAATGACCTGAAAGAATTTAAGTTAAATCTTTGTCACAATCCACATCTGCATCTAACATGTAGCCTAGAAGAGGAGACCGAACTCCAAGTGATTTTGTCTTTAGTGGGGTGTGTTTGTATTTGTATTTAGTTGGGGGTATATTGGTCCATGTGTTATATAATACTCCAAAATAGAAAGTGGATAAATACACTGGGACGGTCCCAAACTGAGACGAAGGCAACATTTGTTAGAGACAAGTTCCATTTATATACTCCGTATGCATAACAGAAGTGAAGAAAACAATGTTTGAAATGCAAGATCATGAAAATTTTATGAGATGACCGATCATTTACTATTTGAAGACCAGCTGCTATAACAATTACAAAGCCCATCTATATCATCATAATCAATCTAAATAAGAACAACTATTATTCATATCTCCAGGTTGAAAACAACACACAACTCTAAAAGAATGCATGCATAGAAGGTCGTAAACACCCATGATCAAAGAAGCTCCAACAAGCAAACACATTCAATGTGAGGAGTATGTGGGAACATGTCTACCGGTTGCAATTTACAAAGCTTGTAACGTCCAATTATATTTCGCTCCGGCTGTGATTGAAATGTATCTGATTAGCTTCCGAAACAAATGAATTCAGAGAAAATGTGAGAAAGAGAGAGATCATGGAATACTTACCACTCCAAAACAGAGGATATTAAGGTCACGAACACAAGTGGCGGGATTGCAAGATACATAGATTATGCGTGGAGCTTTCAACATAAGCAGAAACTTGATCAGTTTCAGGTGCATTCCAGGACGATTTGGATCTACAGGGTGCGACATAAGGGACTACTTTAGCAAACCTTCGGAGGAATTAGAAGTTAAAAAGAAACCTCCACCGAAAGAGTTCAATAAATGAAGACCTGTGATGACAATGTCAGGCCTGGGAAAATTGCTGCCAAAATTTCCATCAATCTTACTAAGATCTCCTTCGATGAATGTCGCATTGCAGATTCCATTGAGCTTAGCATTCTGATTTGCATCTGAGATTGCTTGAGCAACCACTTCATACCCATAAACGTGCCGCACTCTATCAGAACAGAAAGATTGATTAGTGTGGTGTCAGGGGAACATCATCTTTCCAGTAGAAACAACAGAGGAAACTTACTTTTTGGCCAGTGTTAAGCCAATGGTACCAGTCCCGCAGAATAGGTCAAGAACAACTTCTGAGCCATCTCCTTTGAGAGAGGCATAATCCTCGATTAATTTGTAAAGAATCTCTGCCTGCAAGTGGAATTACACTTCAAAACCAAAGAAGTTGATGACTGCAAAAGGGAAAAAATTATGATGTTTGTGCCCCTTCACCTGGTGTGTGTTTGTCTGGAAGAAAGAGTTTGCTGAAATCTGAAAAGTAAGCCCTCGTAAAATCTCTATGATGGATGATTTTCCATACAATGTGTATTCTTTCTCCCCAACAGATGTGTTGCCTATAGAAGTATTCACGTTATTAACAATGCTTACCTGTTTAAGATCAACATGGCAAAATCTTATTGAAACAACCACACATATTTGTGCAGGGAAAACTTACCCAATCTACTCCCTCTGCCCTCAAATAATTGTAGTTTAAAAATCTTAAACGCATTAAGGATTCAATTTTTATTTGCAAAATCAAAATAAAATTACTATAGTCTGACTATTATTTCCCTCTTTAATGCATTTACATTATACAAAGTACAACGAGTAAATTTATAGGTGATTCTCATGATACTCGAAAGTCAAACATAACCTATATAAAAGTTGAGAATAAGTTTGTTTCACTGAAATCACAATTATTTGGAAATGAAGTGAGTAACACAGATAAATGATATAAATCATTTGTACGATTGCACCACGTCAGCTTTTCAAAATTGGGGCATAGTTGTTTCTCACTTTCCGTGAATACAGCACAAAATACTGACAGTTACTGTGTTTCAGGACATCTTACCACTTCAGGGATAGCTGCTATTTTGTCCACAATGGGTTTCAATAGCTCCGGTTTGTAGGATGAGGTCACAAAATTAACCATAAGCTCAGGAAGACCAGTTTCACCACTCCTGAAGCAAACATATTGAATAGTTTATCTAAGTGAGATCTGTTGAACTTTGTCCTCTGAAAATCAAACTTGCACATAGATTCAGAGACAACTTCACAAAATGCATCCATCTGTTGAAGGCCCGTGCTATTTGGTCTCTAATACAGTTCTGGTAGATCTTTTTCTTGGCTCTGAGCGTTAGTTAGTAGTTACATCTTCCCATCACTCAAATCGATTAAGAAAATTGGTTGCGTTATATTAGTATTAACAAATGACAAAACTACACCTGAGAAACCCAATCAATTTAACATCGCTGCCACACAAGCGGGAAATACTAATAATACTCGCTTTGTCCCTAAATGAAGTTCTGGTTGCAGTTTACGATTTTTCAATAAGATTATTTTTAATTCAATTTATATGAAAAAAATTAGGGTAGAACTAAAAATTATAATTTATATAGAACTTAAAAACTACTCCCTCCTTCCAAAATTAATTGGCACAGTTTGATATCTTAAAGTTTAAGAAAAGTGTTGCAAAGTAAAAAGTAAGTGGTTGAAATTTATTTAGAAAAAAGAAAAATTGTGGACCACATATTCATTACTTTACTAAGAAAGTAAAGAAGTGCGGCTATTTTTTGGAATAGACTGAAAAGAAAAGTGAGAAAATTAAATTGGAACACATGGAGTAAATCAAAAGTTTTACAGGACAAGAGAAGATATGAGTATATTATTTACCAAATGATCAATAAAAATATGTAAGAAAAGAAGATATAGTGAATAGTGAACATGAATTTCTTCAAGGGACGTAGGGAGTGTAAGAAATAATAGAAGCACCTGCCACTTCTCAGCATAAGATGCTTAAGAAATCCATTATGAGAGCGGACATCGTAGGGAGAAAGATCAAACTTCGGATCCCTCCAATATTCTTGAACAGTTGCAAGAACCTAAATCATAATGAGATGCATCGTTCATATATGAAAGGGCTTGACAGCTCTCACTTGGAAAACCAAATACTGTTCAACCTAAGCAGTCAACAAATTTATATGGATAGTGTCTTGCCAAAGAGAGCAGATCAGGGCACACATCATCCAATGCATAAAAACATAGTAATTAGATGATAAATGCTGGGGAAACCTGCTATTCTCTGAGTTTAGTGAGAAATTTGATTGTTCATTTCATGTACAAGTGTATCTACGTGTACTCATTTCCCTCAACCATAAGGGTGTCTGTCTGTATATAGACACGCACACACACATCTAATCTTACACCGATTTTTTACACCGAAATTATCTTTCGTGCAGAACTCATTTCCCTAGATTGTTGCATCTGTTGCCTAGTCGACTAGGATTCCTGACAGTGATGCCGCGTCTCTCCTTGACTCCGTTACAACTACGAATCCAGTTCACCTAGAAAGCCCAGTTACACTACTACATTAATCATAGTACTCTAAGCTCGCCTATGACCAACCTCTTGCACTTCCTTGTGCATTTTATCTCCCACGGATGCTGCTCCCATCTTGTCTAGAATTTCTTCAATTCTAACCCTATCCCTTCTAACAAACTCCGCACATCCACCTAAGCATCCTCATCTAAGTCACTCTCAGCTTATGCATGTGGGTATTCTTTAACGGCCAACACTGCCACATACAATGTAGCTGGAGAGAGAATTACGTATTTTTGAATTAATTATAAATATTTTAACACAATTATTTAAAATTACTTAAAATTACAAATAAAATTTAATAATCAGATTAATTAGCATACTAAGTTATTTTAGTGTAATTATTTGAATCTCAATTTTAAAATTAAACACTTTTAAGTGTATATTCATTACCCTATGTCCCAAACTAGGATAGTCCGGTTTACGATGGTCGACTAAATTTATATCCAATCCAATGTACTTTAAAAGTTAAAACTGGTGTAGAACTTTAACATTAAATTTGTATATGTAAGAACTAAATCAAAACTTCTACAAAAGCAGAGATGGTATGATTATATTATTTGGTCAAATTATCGATGAAAATATGTAAAGAAATAAGATAGAGATTGACCCTAAGAACAATAATTGTGTTTTCCAATTTAGAATGGAGAGAGTATTTATATTTATAATCACATTAAAAAGTAAAAATAATTATTTATTGGGTCCCGGCCTAGTCGGCCCGGAGTAGAGTGTTTCAAATTTTACGAAGGATTTGAGTGACGAAATAACCCCAAGGACCCAAACAAAGATGTTTTGGGAATAGGAAACGGCACTCTTTTAAAAAATTCGTGCTTCATAGCATCTTTGAAGAATTGCATAAACATCTTTAAGTGTAAATTCATTACCCTACGTCCCAAAATAAGACAATTTAGTTTCCGATGGTTGACTAAATACATATCCAATTCCATTTACTTTAAAACTGGTGTAGAACTATAACATTAGATTTGTATATTTAAAAACTAAATCAAAAGTTCTACAAAAGCAAAGATGGTATGATTATATTATTTGGTCAAATTATCGATGAAAATATGTAAAGATCAGAAATAAGATAGAGTTCGACCTAAGAACAACAATTGTGTTTTTCAATTTGGAATGGAGAGTATTTATATTTATTATCTCACTAAAAATTAAAAATTATTATTATTTATATTGGGTCCCTACCTAGTCAGCCCAGAGTAGAGTGTTTCAAACAAGGTCAAAAGCTCTCGCAGAATTCTTGTCCACAAAACCAAAGCCACCATGTACATCTTTGCTAAGTCGCACAAGAACAGGTACTGATAAGTCCGTTTCGTTTTTATCATTTACATCATATTCTAAACGTTATTGCACGTAAATGATATTTAATCATCTCATAAAATGTGATTTTGATGGATAAAACTCTCATTTTCGATCTAAGAGTCATAAATAGGGATTCCACATAAAATCATCATAAATTATCCATTTTATGTTCAAATGCTTGAGAAAAAGGGAATAAATCATCAAAGGATCAAGTTTCGGGCTTGAACGAGCTTCCGAGAAGATAAAATCGACGTTCGGGCCGAAAATCAGTGAAATTGGGCCAAGATCTCGTAACAGCCGCGAAGCCCAACGGACCAAGGCCTCAAGGCGTCCAACTTGGACGCTTGGCCAAGTTGGATGCTTGGAGTTGGACGCCTTGGCTGGATTGCAGATCAAGGAAGACACGTGGCAAGCAGCGAATGGACGGGCCGCGTAAGGCGTCCAACCTTGGACGCTTTGGATCCGGACGCTTTGACTTGGACGCCTCGGCCTCTGTCCTATAAATACAGCGCGATTCTCCCCATTCAA